TCTCCTCTCTGTCTCTCTCTCTCCCTCTCCCTCTCCATCTCCATCTCTCTCCTCTCTCTCTCTTCTCTGTCTCCCTCTCCCTCTCCCTCTCCTCTCTCTCTCTCTCCCTCTCCATCTCTCTCTCCTCTCTGTCTCTGTCTCTTTCTCTGTCTCTCTCCTCTCTCCTCTCTCTCCCTCTCCCTCTCTCTCCCCCCTCACCTCTCTCTCCTCTGTCTCTCTCTCCCTCTCTCTCCTCTCTGTCTCTGTCTCTGTCTCTGTCTCTGTGTCTCTGTGTCTCTCTGTTTCTCTCTCTCTCTCTCTCTCTCTCTCTCTCTCTCTCTGTCTCTCTCTCCCCCCCATCTCCCTCTCCCTCTCCTTTTACCTCTCTCTCTTAATGTATTTGGTTGTTACAAGGTCTCATTATGCAGCAGAGACTCATAGTGATCCTCTTGTTTTCAGCCTCCCCAGCACCAGGATTACATGTGTACACCACTACACCTGGACTCAGTGGCCAGCTCAGTATGCCCTGGGGGTGGGGCTGGCAAGGCATGTGGGCCAGGGATTGAACTGCAGTCCCTGCACTTGCTTGCCTAAGCAGGTACTTTAGTCTGCAGCACTATCTCCAAAAGGCTTTCTCTTACACATAGGGATGTTCCTAGAAATTGAAGTCCCGTGGTTTAGTAGGTGAAGATGTGTCATCTAGTTTTGTGGAGGAAGCAGGGGGATGGGTTAACCAACAGAAACCTTATAATCCCCTTTGACACCATGTGAAGAGATTTTACTTGCATTTGGAGGACAGTTTCACTCACGCTGTTGAGACATAACTAAGGTTGCAGCTGGTCACCCCACCCAATAGCATGATCAGATGCAGTAGCATCCCTAAGTTCTAGGATCCTAAAGATAGGATGATGTCCTGTGCATGAAGGCTGCTCTCCACACTGAAAGGAGTCGACAGAGTTGGCAGAAGGAATCTGAAGACAGAATATTCTATTTGCTGCTATCTGTTACTACTTCCTGTCTGCAAATAAACTAAATAACTGAATAAAGAATCCATATCATCAAACCCAGGCCTCTGTACTAAGGAATAAAGAGCAATCAAATTGTGCTAGACAATCAGAGGAAACTGTCTAGGAGTATTCATTCCCCCCTCTTCCTGGGTGAAATACAGAGACAAAAGAATTGTGCCCATTCATAGCAGTGACAGAAGAGGAAGATCACCACTGATCACCTCTGAACTCAAAAGGGTTGCCAAAAAGGAAAGACGAAAACTTTCATTACTTGCTGCTATGAACACTGTGTCACCAAAGTTAGTGAAGGACCCCAAGAGACCTGGGTGAAAGCATGTTGAAAGCTATTGACTCAGTAGCTTTTGGGGTGATCATACCCCCAAGAAGTATGCTGGTTTTTCTTCACCTCACATCTGAAAAGTTACAGAAACTCTTAGTTTTTTACGCTAATAAGCTAGTCAGCCATTTATAGTTATAAAAGTTGTAATCCTAGCTCTTAGGAGGCTGAACGCAGGTGAATCACTACAAATCCGATCTACGTAGTGAGACCCTGTAGACCCTGTACTAACATACAAATAAGTAAAATAAATAATAAAGTTATAAAAGTAATTCCTAGAAATGAAATCATTTCAGGAAACATTAAATGGGACTCTGGCATTCACTTTATAATGATGAAAGCATAATCCAGCATAATCCACCAGGAAGACGTAACAGCTAGGAACTTGCGAACCATATCTTAGGCTGAATGACATGAAGTTAAAATTTTATAGGTCAAAATCAATTGAGTATTGATGATTTCAACCTAATCAGTAAAGCAAACTATGTTTGCCATCACTTCAGGTGTACAGTGTCATAGAGTCTCATGGATAAACAACAAGTATGTTCCTGGCTTCTGCCCCACGCAGCTTAATTGCTTTGGCAGTGCAGCACTTTCAAGTCCATACAGCACGAAGCCCCTGTAGACCTTACCAAAGAGGCGAGAGGGCTCGGAATTCTGGCTGTAAGATGTACCAGCTATGTGCCGAGTCACTTAACCTCTCTTGAGCCTCAGTGTCCTCATCTCAAAGTGAGGATAACAGAGATCTCAGCCCGACAGGGTTGTGCGGCTTAATGTGAACAGATGGAAGCACCCAGACGTAGGAAGCACTCACTACACGCTACCAATATCAACCTCCCTCTTCCAAAAACATCCTCTCTATTCTTCCCCACTGGCTCTTCTCCCAAACTTGCACGGTCAGGATTGCTCTCTTGTGGCAGTTGTGAGACACGGGGCTCCGTGGAGGGACGCAGTGACCCCTGGAGGAGACCCCTGGGTCTTGCTCATCCTATTGCTTTAACCCAAGTGATAAACGCATCTAAAGGTCAGCGCGGCCCAAAAGGAATCGAAGCCCTCCACTACATCCTTCTTCTCTGTCCTGGCCTCAAGGTCTAGCCACTGGCATTCTGTCTCCTGGCTGTCTCCTCCTCCCCTGGTCACATGGCTCCTGGCACAGTCTTCCACCATCAAGATTGCTCCTCTAAGCACCTCCCAGAGCTCTGACACACTTCTACTTCTGGACTCATATTTAGGTTAAAAAGAGTAAAAGCAAGCCAGACCAGACCTCTTGACTAAGCCTGTATTTGAGGTTTCCTCCTGGCTTTGGGAAGCTCAGCCTCACCTGCTCGTTCCAAGAGTTGATGACCACCAGGTGGGCACGCTCCAGCTGGCAGTACTGGCGGGCCTCAGGCCAGGTCATCCCAACACGAGAAAACCAATAGCAGTTGCCTTCATGCTCCACCCAGTTAATGGGGCAGCATTCTGTGCCTGAGGGGACCGGAGGGGGCCAGAAAGAGGTGAGATCTCACTGGAGGGCCAGCCGCCCTGGGACCAGAGGCTCCCTGGTGTACCATGGGAACAATAGAGAAGATGTTTTGGAAAAGAGAAGGTTGATATTGGTAGCACTTAGTGAATGCTTCCCTACCGTTACTCTGGAGGAATACCATCTGACAAGTCAGGGTGCGCAGATCCACTGGGAAGTGCTTCAGATGAAGGTTCAGGGTAGCGTGATCTAGGGAACAATGCATGGATAGCAGTGGCCAGAGGTGAGCCCCCATCCTCAGGCCCGGACACAAGCCTTTAGCTATCAGTACGGAAAGCACGTGCACGCACGCGCGCACGCACACACACACACACACACACACACACACACACACCACATAGCCCACATAAGCACATGGCCCACCATGTAATACCCATATGCCACACACTACACATGAAAAGATAGAGCATACCACACCTCACACTTACCATAAACACCACACAAAGCCCCCATAGACCTTACAAAAGAGGCCAAAGGGCTCCAAACTCTGGCTGCATCATGATGTACCTTTAGTAAGGTCTATGGGGGCTTTTGCTGCATGTACCTAAGCATACATCACTACCCCCAGATATCCCTCACACAGCATGAGACATACCACACATGTACAAATACATAGCATGGATACACACACCACACACAAAACCACACATAGCACCACACACACATACACACTTGGAAAATCTCTGACCTGTTTGGAGCTCTTTCTGCTTTTTCTCTACCTTGTTTCCCAAGGATCTCAACTTGTCATTTGCTGTGCCTCCTGCGAAAAAGAAACGAAGCTGTTCTGCCTCCTGCAGATGCCTCACACTCCTAGAGCAGAGCTGTGGCTTCTCAGCTTGTCCCTGGAAGCTGTCTGACCCCAGACTGCCTCCCCACAGCCCTGAACACACTCCTTTTGAAGACCCTATACAGAGCCCAGAACCCTCTTGTGCCAGCCACCCAGCGCACTCACCATGGGAGTCCAGAGCCTGGATCTCCAGCAGGGTGCTAGAGGAGAAATTGCTGAAAGCTTCTTTCAGGGCCCGCAGCTCCAGTTGCAGTTGTGCACCTTGTCAGGAGACAGGGGGACAGGGCAGGGCATGGGGCTGTCCGTGGGACTGTCCCCCTCACCACCCTTCACTGCCACCATCATTATTCCTACATTCACCCACCGCTGACCCCTCCTTTTGCCCAGCACATGCCCCCTACTGCCTCCACCTGGTCCCCTCTTTTCCCGTCCCTGCCCCTCCCCTGCCAGTCCTGTGACTCTCACTTTGGGACCCAGTCATACAAATGGCCACCAGCAACAGAACATTGAGACCCAGGGCAAGCAGACCGAGGCGGAAACTGGAGCAGAGGCGCTGCTGGAGGGGCCGGGGAGAGGATGGCCCTGTAAGAAAGGAGGTGTCAGGAGCCGGGCATCCAGGGTTGGGAGCTGGAGTGCAAGGCACATGAGCAGAGGGGCACAGACATCCAGTGCTGGAGAGCAATCCAGGCAGGAGAGGAAGCCAGGCCAGGGGCTGTGGGCAGGCGCTTGCTGGCTTCTGACTGTTGAGGCACTGAACACACATTTACATACTTGAGCCCAAATGAACATGGGTGTAACCCACTACTATTATGGACTACTGGACTATATTGGATTACTTTGCTGAATTCACGCACCTACAATATATGAATGGCAATGGAATACCCATCTCTGATGAAAGTAAACTAAAAAGGGGGATATACAGTTTTCGTTTCACTCTCACATTCATACATCCATGCACACACATTAGCACACACAGTCTCTCCTAAATATTCTCACACAATCACATACTGATGCACTCATTCTTCTTTTTTTTTTTTTTTTTTTTAAGATAGGGTCTTGCCAAGTTGCCCAGGCTGGCCTCAAACTTGCAATCCTCCTGCCTCAAGCTCCCAGCATGCTAGAATTACAGCCTCCTGTGTAATGATTGCTCCTCTCTGCCTTGGATCCTGGTTCATGTGGACTTCCCTCCCGCAACCATTATTTCCCAGCATGCCCACAGCTAAGAGGTTCAGGCAGGGGTCCAGAATTTTCCTTCTCAGGCCACCTCTTGCTGCCATCCTGAGTTGACATTGTTCCTGTGAGTGACCACTCCAAACTCTTGACTTTTTCAGGCCTCCCTCCACAGAAACCTTACTCAGAACCCCATCTTGACCCAGACAGGCTCTGCCTCTGACACTTCCTTCCTACACTCTGAGTATAGCCTCTCTGGTTCTCGCTTCTCCTATACCCTCCCCAGTGCCCTTGCATTCCTCTAAACATGTTGGAAACTTGATTCCCCGCTTAGAGTGTTAGGAGGGGGTCCTGATAGGGAGTGGCTAGATCACACAGGGTCTGTCCTCATGAATGGATTAATACTTATTGCAGGAGTAGATTATTTATAAGTTTCCCTCTTGCTGTCTTGCTCATCCTCTGTTATGGTTTGGGTCTAGATATCCCCCCAAAGCCTCATGTGGTCATAGGGCTTTTTCAGAAGAGAGTGAGTTTAGATCCTGAGGTTAGGGTGTGATCCTAGAGCTAAGCCTGTGTGATTGGCAAATCAGTCCCCTGATCTGTTTGGCATAGCCCTGGGTAGAGTTAAGGGTGTGAGTGCTATACCTGCGGGGGGTACCCTGCATACAACATAAGGGACAGAAAGAGTCTTGTCTACCCTGCTTGTTGCTTTGCAATTTTCTGCCTGCCATAACTGTTCTGTCAAGCCACTTTATCTTGGAACAAACTGATTATGGACTAGAACCTCTACCAAAGGTGAGCTAAATCAACCTTTCCCTCTTTCTCCTTGGGTGTCAGGTATTTTGTCTCAGCAATGAGAGAAAAATAACTAAAACACCCTTCCTTTGCCTTTCATGAGATGATGCAGTAAGGAGGTCTTCAATGGGGGGAAGGAATACAGCCTGCCAGCCTGCAGAACCACAAGTCAATAAATCTCTTTGTTATAAATTGTCCAGTCTCAAGTACTGTTATTGTGACCCACACAATGGGCAAGGACACACTCCCACCAGCATCTCTCCCTGAGTGGTCTCCCCCATCCAGCCTAGGATCCCACAGCTGAGCTCCTGTCTATACCCCTCAGTCCCACCAATGGAGAGGGCCCTTACTGTGCTTTGAAATCAATGCCCCACAGATCCCCAACTCTAGGTCGGCTCCAGCTGTACCACCAATGGGCTCAGCTATCCGGGATGCATCGTTCAGTTCCTTGGTGCCTCCCTGTTTTCAGGCATGAAATGGCAATAACAAAAGTAACATGTAAAGTGATGCTCAGGCAGTTCTAAAGTTAAAGAAATGTTCTGCCCAAAATGAAAACACAGGGGCTGGGGAGATAGCTCAGTAGAATAAGTACTTGCCTGGCAAGCTCAGGGTCCTGAGTTCAATCCCCGGTACCACAAAAAAACAAAAAAAAAACAAAAACAAAAAACACAGGGGCCAGATCAACCCTTTCCCAGAAACACCAAAATGAAAAACAACTATAAGACACAACAGTTTTCATGACACTGGACAACAAGCAGCAAAGGACACCGGCCCCTGAAAGACAGGAAATAGAAGAAATGAGTTTTCCAAGTGCTCTATCTTACTGCTTGGAGAGTCACGGAGTGACTCAGGTCACAGAGCAGGGAGAGGAAATCAAGGGAGAGTCCTGCAGACTCCCTGAGTTGAGGAGATGGAGGGGGAGTCTGAACCAAAGATGTTTAAGAGCTCACAGGATCAAACTGACTCCAAGTTACTTAGCTGCATCCCAGAAGAAAAAAAAAAAGCTGAAAAATACAAAGAGTAAAACAAAAATATCTAGAACCCAGCAAGACAAAATACACAATGCCTGGCATCCAGTAGAAGATCACAATGCATACAATGAAACAAGAAAACACAACTCATAATGAGGACGTTAATGAATCCATCAACATGGGCTGGGTCGAGCACTGTCTAAATGGAGCGGTAGAGCCCTGCTCTAGCATATGTGAAGTCCTGGGTTCAATCCTAGTTGCAGAGGAAGGTGTAGGAGCACCAATGGGACAATTAACAAATGTGACCTTTTTTTTTTTTTTTTTTTTTTTTTTTTTTTTTTTTTTTCGGAACCAGGGATTGAACTCAGATCCTTGAGTTTGCCAGTCAAGCGCTTATCTTACTGAGCCATCTCCCCGGCCCCTTACAAATGTGACATATTAATATACTCTTAAATGGAGTTCTTGACAGAAAGGAAAGGGATGGGAAAATATTAGAGGAAACACTGGTCAAAACATTTCCAAATTTGTTAGAAACTATAGATGAAAAGTCCCAGGAAGACTGGGAGGCAGTCAGCAGTGAAGTCTACTCCTGCAGTAGAGAAATGCATGGCTCACTTGTCTCTCACTGTTGGCCCTCATTCCATTTGGGCATGTTCCCACTCATTAAGTTCAGAAATTCAGGACTCTGTCCAAGGCCCCCAAACTCTGGATTCTCTCAACCTCAGAAAGTCCAGCAATAACCAAAGTCATTGCTGAAGACTTGCTAGTCCCAGGCACCATGTGGCCCCAGAATTGCAGAAGACAGTGAAGGCAGACATAGCGTTGTCCTCACGGAGCCCATAGATGAGTAGTAAAACTTGCCAGCTCACTGCCAAGGGAAGGAGAAGCTGCCAGTGGGCACGTACCCCTTCTGCCCACCCCTACTCTGCCCAGTGCCAACTTTCTCCCCTGCCGGCCCCAGGAATGAGGGATTGCTCCCAGCCCGGTTCCTCAATGTCCCTCCCTGAGCTCAAGGCCCAGCCCCTCCTCCTTCCACAGAAACCGGCTCTATCAGCAGCATCTACACAGAGCACCTCCTCCATCCTTGGCTCCTGCCCTTCTGCCTGGACCCACTCAGATCTCTCTTGCTTTAATACTTTTCCTAGTCACTCAGGCCTGCTTCAAGATTTGCTACAGAAAGATTTGAGCAGGAAGTTCAAGAGGAACAGGAATCTTCCACCCTCTCTGTGCTCATGTCCCCACCCACTCCAACTCACACAGAGTCTGAGCTAGCCCTGTGTTCCTTCTATCCACACACATGCAGAGGCAAACACACAGTGCTTACGTCCCTCACCATGGGAGGAGCAAGGAAGCCACGTGCAACTTCCAAGTGTCTCTCTCTCTTGACAGAAAGGAAAGGGATGGGAAAATATTAGAGCTCACAGGATCAAACTGACTCCAAGTTACTTAGCTGCATCCCAGAAGAAAAAAAAAAAAAAGCTGAAAAATACATAGAGTAAAACAAAAATATCTAGAACCCAACAAGACAAAATACACAATGCCCGGCATCCAGTAGAAGATCACAATGCATACAATGAAACAAGAAAACACAACTCATAATGAGGACGTTAATGAATCCATCAACATGGACTGGGTCAAGCACTGTCTAAATGGAGTGGTAGAGCCCTGCTCTAGCATATGTGAAGTCCTGGGTTCAATCCTAGTTGCAGGGGAGGGTGTAGGAGCATCAATGGGACAATTAACAAACGTGACCTTTTTTTTTGCGGAACCGGGGATTGAACCCAGATCCTTGAGTTTGCCAGTCAAGCGCTTATCCTACTGAGCCATCTCCCCAACCCCTTACAAATGTGACATATTAATATACTCTCTCTCTCTCTCTCTCTCTCTCTCACACACACACACACACACACACACACACACACACACACACCCTCTGTTAGAGGGCCTGCCCATCAGCTCAGTTGTTTAAGTGCCTGCTTAAACAAAGCAGTCAGGCTCAGGAGGCTGTGTTTGAATCCCCAGATCCTCAAGCCAAACCAGACCTGCCCTGAAGGCATCACGAGGTGACAAAAAAAAAAAAAAAATCCTACAGACCCTTTGTTAGCACAGCTGTCCACAGCTTATACCTAGAAGGACTTAGTCCCAGCTCAAAGTGATTATGACAGACCCCAGAGAGATGGGAAGTATTTAGCAACTGATTCAGGGTGCAGATGAAGCCCAGAAAACTGGACACTTGCCTTTCCAAAATGGATTTTCTCTCCTGGGATTCTGCCCAAAGTTGCCTGGCCCCTCACTATCACTGAGCTGATGGTCATCGTCCTCAGGCTCCAGCTGCTGGATGTCTTGAAAGTCCTTCTCCATGATGGGACCAGAGCTGGAGTCAGATCAGGGATGGAGTAGAGGTTGCAATCAGATCTGGAGCTTATGCTAAAATGCTAATTCTAGTGGAGGCTAATGGCATTGAGTCAGGCATGGGGAGTCAAACTGATAGGTTGGGCTGGATTTGAGACTAGAGATGAGTTCAGGGTAAAGATTTTAATATTTCAGGGTCCTTCCCCTTCTCAAGAGATAACTTAACCCATAATCTCAACACTCAGGGGTCTGATGCAGGAGGATTGCTGCAAGTTCAAGGTCAGCATGGGCTACAAAATGAGTTCAAACTTAGACTGAACCACATGAGAACCTGTCTCAAAGAAAGGAAGGAAGAGAGAAAGAGGAAAGAAAGAAAGAAAGAAAGAAAGAAAGAAAGAAAGAAAGAAAGAAAGAAAGAGAAAGAGAGAGGAAAAAAGAAAGAAAGAAAGAAAAATAGAAAGAAAGAAAGAAAGAAAAGAAAAGAAAAGAAAAGAAAAGAAAAGAAAAGAAAAGAAGTAGCTTAGCCCCTGACATGGCAGGGACCATCCCTCCATACTCAAGGATCAAACCACCCACATCTTCCCACCCAGCCCCACTGTCCCTAAACCAGTTTCCTAAATTCAAAGCATCCCCCACCCGTTTGTTTCCCCAACCTTGGTTACCAATTAAAGGTGTGAAGAGCTGGCTCCAGGTCCTGCAGGCAGCCTAGGCCCCAGAAAGGAAGAGGGGTTAAAACTGAGAGACCTTGGGCACGGGGTAGGTGCAAGATGAGAGAGGAAGAGGAAGCTCGTCCAGGCCAGGGTCCTGAGTGTCCAACTTGCTCTAACCTTGCATCTCCTGGCCCTGGGACTTTGGACTGTAAATAGAGGTAGAATCAGAGTTGGAACTTGGACAATGAGTGGTGGTGGAGGGGAACACAGCCGTCTCCCTTCTCAGCCCCCTAGGCAAGGATGTCCCATCTTCACACTCCAGTCATGTCACTCCTTATTGTACAATTTGGGAAGGGGAGTCGGGCCTAGGGGGGCCAGGGTGTAGTCTGTGATTTCTCTTCCCCTTTCACTTCCTGCCTCTCAATTTCCCAGAATTGGTAGTGTCTCTAAATATCCCTGATCAGGTTCAAAGGGACTGACAGCTTCCCTGCTCTTGCTCAAGCTGGGCCCGTGATACTGGAATCCAAATACCAGACTGCAGCTCAGCCTTCCTGGAAGCTCAGCCCCAGGTTCTCAAGCACCAGCCTGACTCGCTCACTCTTCTAAGGGAAGAAATTTCCTCAAGATACAGAAGAAGCAGGGGAAGGAGCAAGGAGCAGAACGGGAGGCAGAGCTCCTTGCAGCAGGAGGAGCTGTACCCCAGTAAGCACTTCTGAAGTCAAAGCTCCACATTGGGTCTAGGAACACAAATATTTGTCCTCATCCCCAGCCATTGTTATATCCACAGATTATTTTCTTATTTACCCTCACAATACAACAGCACCAAGAGCAAGCTATGTTTCTTAGCCCTATTCCACAGGGGAGAAATCCTTAAGAAAATTGAGTGGAATAGCTCAGTGGATTAAAGCACCTGCAAGCAGGCACAAGGGCTGGGAGTTCAATCCCCGGGCCTGGAGTGCCAGCCCTGTCCCCAGGGTGTGCTGGGATGACAATTGAGCCTGAGCATGGTGGTGCACACCTGTAATCGCAGATCTTGGGAGGCTGTAAACGGGCAGATCACTATGAGTCCAATCTAGTAGTGACACCCTAAATACCCTGTAGACCTTTCCCTAAAATAACAAAAAGAAAGAAAGAAAGGAAGAAAGAAAGAAAGAAAGAAAGAAAGAAAGAAAGAAAGAAAGAAAGAAAGAAAGAGAAAATTCAGTGTGGCTGGGGTGATAGCTTGGCAGTCTAAGCACCTGCCTGGCAAGCACAAGGACCCAAGTTTAATCTCTGATACCACATGTTGTATGCAGGCCCCAAAACCAGGCATGGTGGTACACGCCTGTAATCTCAGCACTGGGGAGGCTAAGATAGCAGTATTGCTACAAGTCTGAACTGTGCAGCAAGATCCTGTATCAAATAAAAATTAATTAATTAATTTAGAAAAAAGATTGAGTGATGTGCTCCAGGTAGGGGGCACCATACTTTTAATCTGGAATGTCCCCCAAAGGGTCATGTGCTAAAGGCTTGGTCCCCAAACCATGGCACTATTGGAAAGAGCAGGAAGACTTCTAAGAGGTGGGACCCATGGGGAGGTCTTCTGGCTGCTGGATGCCGGAATCGTCTCTTCCTCTGGCAGTTCACAGACACCAGGTGAAGAGCTTTGCTCTCACCAGGGTGTGCTGATTCATCACAGGTCCAAAGCAAAACAAGGCAAGCGATTACAGACTGAAACCTCTAAAATCGTGAGCCAAAATAAGTGTCTTCTCTTTATAAGTTGATTTATCTCAGGTATTTGTGTTACTAGACCCAGGTCCAGCTGTTCACTGCTCAAAAGGCACCCCTCAGGAGCTGAGAGCTGGTTGAAAGAAAATCAGTTTTATCCTAGCCAGCATCCTGGAGGACAGAGAGAACTCTAGTCTCCAGAGCCCCTTCTTAGGAAACTCAAGTACACAGAAGTGGTTTGTTTTTTTTTTAAATATTTATTTATTTATTTATTTATTTAGTGTGTGGCCAGCTTAGCCCACCAGGGGGCGGGCAGGCTGGCATGTGGTGCTGGGGGATTGAACCATGGTCCCTGTGCTTTGCTTGGCTTAGCTTGCTCTAAGTAGGTGCTTTAGACCACTGAGCCATCTCACCAGCCCCACACAGAAGTGTTTTTATATAGAAGAGTCAGGAGGTTCAGGGGTGATGAGCAGGAAGGCTACATGCTGAGTCACCCCCAGGTACCATACCATCTTGTCGCTGAGGGAATGCTGGTCTTTCTCTATTGCCAGAATATCCTTGCAACACCAATCAACCTTCACGCCCTAATCCTATAGGGCCTCCAGTCCCACAATTCTTTAGATAAACATTATTTGCTTGCAAATTGTCCATATTTCTGTTTTTAAAGAACTGGATTGGGAGTTGCATGTTTTGGGTTAGTGGGGAACTTTCTGATGATAACTGAAGGTCATCAGATGTCCTGGGTTCCGTAAATCTACAGGAACGTCACTGACTGGGTTTATGACTTATGTCTTTTTTTCATTTCTTTTTCCCAAGAATAACTAACCTTGCAGCTTAAGACACAGAACAAGGGGGAAGACCAGAAGGCAGTTTTTGCTGGAGAACAGCATTAATCCTTTAGGCAGCTTCAGGGAGAGGCACAATCTACAGCAAAGCTAGTGGGAAAGCACTGACACGTTTGTTCTGCTGCTTTTCCTCCAAATTAATGGTTTTTGAAGTCAACTAAAAGCAAATAAGGCTGGAGAGTTTATTTAGGTCTTTCCCTTCCTTACAGTGCCAGAGACCAGATAGTGAGAAACGGAGCAGTCATTGCTATACCAGAAATGATGCGGGCAAGAGTTTGGGACTGGCCTGCAGTTGGAGTTTGCATGTGTTTGGAGGAGTGCTAGCAAAGACCGGAAACCCTCAGAAGACCAAAAAGCTGGTAGCAATGCAGACAGGCAATAAAAGCCATGCTGATGAAGCTTCAGATGGAACTGAAAATTCTGTTGGAAATTGGGCACTCATGTTACTTACTCTGTGGCAAACAACTCGGGCTCATTTTGTCCACACCCTGAGCTCAAAAGTGATGAACTAATTCATCTATCAGAGGAAATTTCAAAGCAACACAGCATCCAAGTGGTGGCACTGGGGTAGGAGATCAGGGCTGGGGCAAAACAGACCAAGCAAGTGGGTAGAATCTGTCAAAACCCTGCAGACCCAGAGTATACGTACACAGAAGAGGCCTGAGGATCCAGGATCCCAAGCATAGTAGCTCCTAAGCACTGGCACAGAACTAAGCAGATAATGCTATTTTTAGTTCTTCATTTGCATTTGGCATGAAATCAAGGCAACTCTTCGATGGGATAGTTTAAATCTTGTGCTAGGCCAAGAGAATGCGTGATAGGACAACTGTGCCAATGTTTTATTTGCGTGAAGGAAAAGCCAACCCAGGAACTCCAGGCTCAGCCAGCCCCTTGCCCTTATCTCATGGCTGCTGTGAGTGTGCTCACTGCCTGCTCTCAGGCTGCAGAGCCTGCTTCTTTCTCCCTTCAATGAATGCACACCCCCGTTACCTTTTCTATGTATCTTGTCCAGTTCTTTGTTCAGAATAGCAAGAATTTAGAAAGAATTGCCCGAGGACTCATTAGCCAGTAACAGCACAAGTATTCCTGACAGCTATCTGCCAAATTTACTGTGGGAACTGCAACCAAACAGAGAGGAAGAATTTGGAAAACTTGCAGCTTGGTCATTTAGAAAACTTGCAGTTTGGTCATTTAGAAATAACAACCAAGTTCAAAAACGCACAGGCAGCAACTTCTATGTCACAAGCAGCACCTGGATAGAAACTGTTGGGAGATGCCATCAATTGTAAAATAGCTCAGCTTCAGATATTTTCTCTGAAAATCTCTGGGCTTCAGAGAAATGTAAATGAATCAAGTGATGAAAGTTAAGTATAAGAAAATGATAAGAACCATGTAAGATATAACCATGACACCCAAAATACATAATAATTACAGAGGGGCTGGAGAGATGGCTCAGTGGTCTAAAGCACCTACTTAGAACAAGCTTAGCAAAGCACAGGGACCGCGGTTCAATCCCCCAGCACCACATGCCAGCCAGCCCCGCCCCCTGGTGGGCTGAGCTGGCCACACACACACACACATATAAATAAATAAAAATTAAAAAAAAAAAAGAATTACAGAAAAAGGAGTAGGAGACAATAAACAATAGTCTAAGAAATGTTACAAAAAATATTCTGCATGCTGTGTAAAGCCCTAGTCTCCGGTTCCCATGGATTCATCTAGACATTGGTCCTAGTTTATGATGCAAACACAGCTCCACTCATTTATTCATTTGCTTATGTATTCGATCAGCAAACATTAAGAACCTACTATGCTTTAAGCATTACCAACAACTCAGAACACGTGCGTGCCCTAAAACCAGAATACTCCTACCTCTGATAATAAACACCACATAACTCTGCATCTCTTTTTCATTTTAGTTTTCAGGAATTACAGAATGAATCAAGGGTTTAAACGTTGACAACTTTGTTATGGCCTGCATTATTTCTGCTTGTCTTTTCCCCAAAAATCTTGATTTTCTACTTGTATTTCAGTTTTCTGTGGTGTTTATTTATTTATTTATTGTATTTCAGGAAAGGGTCTACAGGATGTTCAGGGTGTCTCTACTAGATTCAACTAGTAGTGATCCACCTGTTTACAGCCTCCCAAGAACTGGGATTACAGGTGCACACCACCAAGCCCAGTCTCAATTGCCATCTCAGTGCTCTCTGGGGGCGGGGCTGGCAGGTATGCCCACAGATTAAACCCCTGGCCCCTGAACCTGTTTGCAGGTGCTTTAATCCACTGAGCTATTTGGCTGGTCCTTTCTGTGGTCTTTAATCTTAGATCTATTTTACTGTATCTCAGGTAAATATGTAGGTAGATAGATAGGTGGTAGGTAGGTAGGGTAGATGGTAAATCTCTGCAATACTTCTAGAATGTATGTGTCCCTACCAACCCTGCCTGCTCCTCCCCTGCCCTTGTGAAAGCCCTATGACATAAGCTCGTTCCCCCCTCTCTTGTCACACCTAGTGACTAGCCATCCCCTAAACATCCTGCAAGTCTTACTACTGTCGTCACAGCTCAAGGCTCAAAAATATCACTTGATTTTCTCATAACTAAATTTAGACAATATCCCAAATTTTCTTTCTGCT